GTGAAAGCCGAAATCAAAATGAACAAAGACAGCAACGGTATACTGCGTCTCATGATATGTAAATTTCTAATGAAGAAGGCTAAAAATTGCCCCATAGCTTCTGAAATATAAAATAACGCAACTTTAGTTCAAAATTGGTATAGTTGGCAATAAAACTGACTTATTTACTTTCTTGTCCAAATTACTAACTGGACTATAGACACAAACACACATACATACACACACACACAAACAAACACATCACACACCCACACACACATACATACAGACTCTCCGCCAACTATGAGGACAATCCAGAGGCTCTTAATAACTTCTTCAGCTGAAGAATGACCTCCAAGGTGTTTTAGGAGGCCATAGTAAGGGACTGAGAATGGACAGGCCGTCGAAGTGTCACAGTATCCCTATAGCTATACTACTAGAATGCCTACTTTTACCCACGACAGACGTTGTAGGAAATATCGTAAACATAAAAAGGAGATGACGGGTAGGAATGGCAGCGGGCACAAAGAAAAGTGAATAACATTACACCAGTTAACGTGTAACAGAAAGAGATGCAGACAAGCAGAATTTTAGCATAAAAACTTTAAAGAAAATTTGACATTCTCAGGAAGAAAACGAAGAAGTGGCTGATTTTAGGTATCTAGGTAGTCAGATAAGTCAGGACGGAAGGAGTAGGAGTAGAGAAGGGATATATAGCAGAGGATAGCGCAGGGTCGACTCACTTCTATGCTCGAGAACGGTTAATTTAGAAATTCGAGAAAGGTTGTTAAATGTGCATGTTTGGAACGCGGCGCTGTACGGGTGTGAAACATGGACGTTGGACGTTACGGAAAAGAAAAGGTTAGAAGCGTTCGAAATGTGGTTATAAAAGGTTAAAAATGAAGAGGTATTAGAAAGAATAGGAGAACAGAGGACTCTATGGAAGTCAATAAGTAATAGGCGAGATGGGTTGGTAGGACACCTTCTCAGGCAGGAAGGTCCAGTCAGAGACATATTAGAGGCAGAAACGGGAGTTAGGAGGAGTAGAGGTAGACCTAGACCCATTCTAGTTGATCGGATGGATCGGCTTGCGGGTTTCAATGATTTATCTATAAAATAATTAAAACGCAAACCAGATATCTACAAATAAATAAATACAGCTACCTGAAACGAACGTGAATCTCTGGTCCTAACGCTACATCGCCTGCTAAATTATCATCGAATTGTATTCCAGCAGCATTTAACATAGTCGCGCTTCGATTACCTATGAATTTAACTAATTCATTCGAATTTGGGAATGAAGCGAGTTCTAAACCAGTTTCTGCGTTAACATAATTCATAATTTTTTCAAGATTTGGATTTTTCGGTGACCAAGCCAAAGGTAGGAAACCAGCACCTAAACTAAAATGGAAATGCAATATTAACGTTCCAGATGTAATTATGTAATTTAATTTCACATATGTATAACCACTTGAAATCGAAATTTTTGTAGTATTAATTTTTAGAAATTAATTTCTTATTACGAACAAAAAATTAGAAAAAACGTGACCTTACTTATTACTAAAGAGCTTTCAAAAAATTATATTTTGAAATTTAGTAAAAGGGTAGCACCAACGGCTAATAAAATTATGAATCAAATTGACTTTTTTCGTCACACAGTCACATCATATATATATTCAGTTCGTTTTTACAGTAGCTATTAGTAAAATTAATTATAAACATAGTACTTTAGTACATGTACACTCAGAGTGTTGGAAATAAGTGGCAAACTATGGAGGGCGTAACTAGGTGTAATAGGGAATCGCTACCGGAAGCGGCCCTGGACGTGAACTGGCAACAGAGTTATTAATATAGCGAGTTGCGATAACAACCAAGCAACTACAATGAATGAACAATAAGAGAGGATGACGAAAAAGGGAAAATACATCGTAGAAAAGGCCTACGAACACACACACCCCACACCGAATAAACTAAACAGTGTTGTAGCAATTATGTAGGGGAAGTCCGGGAGACGGTCATTGGTAGAGCACGGGAGGTCAATAACCAGCACGCCGCCATTTTTTACAATGTCCCGTTTGTTTGGCTCGGTTCGGATAGGTGTTTTTGTTACGGCGGAGTAAATTTTATTAATTTATGTAGTTTTGAGATTGCGGCCGTGTTTATAGAGGTACGTATTGTGACTTATTACTATTGTACTGCCTGATTATTGTAGTTTGACGTGAGCTAAGTGTTTTTTCNGAAATAAGTGGCAAACTATGGAGGGCGTAACTAGGTGTAATAGGGAATCGCTACCGGAAGCGGCCCTGGACGTGAACTGGCAACAGAGTTATTAATATAGCGAGTTGCGATAACAATCAAGCAATTACAATGAATCAACAATAAGAGAGGATGACGAAAAAGGGAAAATACATCGTAGAAAAGGCCTACGAACACACACACCCCACACCGAATAAACTAAACAGTGTTGTAGCAATTATGTAGGGGAAGTCCGGGAGACGGTCATTGGAAGAGCACGGGAGGTCAATAACCAGCACGCCGCCATTTTTTACAATGTCCCGTTTGTTTGGCTCGGTTCGGATAGGTGTTTTTGTTACGGCGGAGTAAATTTTATTAATTTATGTAGTTTTGAGATTGCGGCCGTGTTTATAGAGGTACGTATTGTGTCTAATTACTATTGTACTGCCTGATTATTGTAGTTTGACTTGAGCTAAGTGTTTTTTCGCTAAGATTGATTGTTTTTCCTGTGAGTAAAATTTCACTTCCTGCAAGGTTGCTCCCTATTTCAGAAACAGTTCTGTGCGCCACTTAATTAAGCCGCACCGCTCCCCATTACATCCCCATTTGCTAGTATAGAAACGCTGATGTATCTCGCCCAATTAGTGTAAAGAACACCTCTATTTCGTCACAAGCCACCAGTGATTTACCTGTTGCCTTCAGTTGGGATCCATGGTCCAGGAACTCTCATCTGTCGTACCACGAAATTCCATCGTAGAGTTGAAAACACAGTGAAAGCCGAAATCAAAATGAACAAAGACAGCAACGGTATACTGCGTCTCATGATATGTAAATTTCTAATGAAGAAGGCTAAAAATTGCCCCATCGCTTCTGAAATATAAAATAACGCGACTTTAGTTCAAAATTGGTATAGTTGGCAATAAAACTGACTTATTTACTTTCTTGTCCAAATTACTAACTGGACTATAGACACAAACACACATACATACAGGCTCTCCGCCAACTATGAGGACAATCCAGAAGCTCTTAAGAACTTCTTCAGCTGAAGAATGACCTCCAAGATTTCTTAGAGGTCATTCTTCAGGCTCCGCCCACTATGAGGACAATCCAGAGGCTCTTAAGAACTTCTTCAGCTGAAGAATGACCTTCAAGGTGTCTTAGGAGGCCATGGTAAGGGACTGAGAATGGACAGGCCATCGAATTGTCACAGTATCCCTATAGCTATACTACTAGAATGCCTACTTTTACCCACGACAGACGTTGTAGGAAATATCGTAAACATGAAAAGGAGATGACGGGTAGGAATGCCAGCGGTCACTTATAAAGAAAAGTGAATAACATTGCACCAGTTAACGTGTAACAGAAAGAGATGCAGACAAGCAGAATTTTAGCATATTGCCAGCATCAGACTTTAAAGAAAATTTGACATTCTCAGGAAGAAAATTTGTA